CACAAAATGTGGATTAATACACCTAACATAAATGAGGATTCATCTCTAGTTTACATAAATCTTCACAGAAAGTCACCTACTCTGTGTCCACAAGATCTGTGCGGATCTGATACCTTGTGTAATTGCTTAGACTGTCAGAGATGTTTTATCACTAACTCAGATTATGTTAAATACCAGACTGTTTCTCATCAGCAGCAGCCTGGAGATATTTCATATCCATGTTATGAATGTGGAAAATGTTTTAGCCAAAAGTCTTATCTCATTACACACCAGAAGATTCATACAGAAGAGAAACCATTTTCATGTTCTATATGTGGCAAATCATTTGTCTATAAGAGTTATTTGAAAAAGCATCTCCGATTTCATATAGGAAACAAGCCATTTTCATGTTCTGAATGTGGTAAAGAATTCTATTTTAAAGCACATCTTGTTTCCCATCAGAGGATTCACACTGGAGAGAAGCCATTTTCGTGTTCTGAATGTGGGAAAAGCTTTAATCGGGACTCAAATCTTCTTAGGCATCAGAGAATTCACACTGGGGAGAAACCATTCTTGTGTACACTCTGCAGGAAATGTTTTAGCCGTGATGCTTATCTGGTTTCCCATCAGAGGACTCACATGAAAGAAAAGAGATTTTGTTGTACTGTATGCGACACATGGTTTGTACATAAAAACCAGCTCATTACTCATCTGAAAATTCACATGTGAATTTAGATTATTATTTTTTTTTCTAAATGTTGGATCTGTTTGAGCTGTTACTCACAGAGCAAACCTACATATCAGATCTGAATATAGGAAACATTTTATTTCACAGCTGCTGTACAGGATTGTACTGCTAAGGTTAAAAAAAAGACGATTTTAGGGATGGAACTGAGGAACCAACCTTGCTATTGCTAATGTTTTTGAATTATATTTCCCATGTTGCTGAATCAGTATCACAGGAGCTTGGTTCACATACATTTTCATTGTCAACGTTAGCCATGACGGACAAGGTTAGATAAGACAAAGAAAGTGAGTGGTAAGTGTGAGGGGAAATAGTTCATGTTAACTGAAGTCCATATTTAACTTTGTAACCACTTGTAGGTACAGTTCTTACTAGTAGGCACAACTGTAAACATACGACATATTTTTATTTCCTGTTGAATTGAATCTGAGAGTCCCAGAAATGGATGGAAAAAGTAAAATTCAAAATTACGGCAAGTATTCTACATGAGAGTTAAATCTCCACCCCCTTCCCCAGATGTCGGGTTCATTGACTTAGAGGGGGCAGGATAGTTCTTTTCTGAAAGTCGATCGCCATGTTTAGATTAATTTCCCACCTTTTCTACGTTGGTTCACCTTTATTGTCTCCTCCTTCTCACCAAGCCTTTTACTCTCCCCCCTCTGCACTCCACTCCATATAGATCAAGTTCAATGTTAACACAGTTTTGATTTGATTGTTTTTCATGTTTTCTTCTAAATACCTATAATTGGCAACGGTTTTGGGAGCTGTACTATTCATTTGCAATAAAATGTGAAATGGACATAAAAAGAGCAGGGCAGGGTGAAGTAGTTAAGACTTTAGTATATTTCCCAGATTGATCATGTCTGCACGCCAATACGGTATAACCGTAATTCCCAACCCACCTCTCAAGGCACACCAGCACAACGCAATCACAATCATCGCAGTTAAGATTTATTGACACACTAACAAAGCCACTTTTCCTTAATCAATCTGGACTTGACATACAGTATTTCTCGTCATCAAATTACTGAATACAATTACTGAATTTTCAAACTTAAAGGGTTACTCCGACCAAAAACAGTGCTTTAATATAACAGTTTTAGATGGATTAACCAATGTTGATATTGGCTCCCCCTTAAAAAAAAAATAAAAAATTAACAATGAACTTACCTTAGATCCCACACTGAGCCCAAGTTCTCCTTAAAAGAAAAATTCCGTACAGACAGAAAATTGCAAGCCTTGTGAGGCAATTTACACACCTAGAATCAAAATAACTGATTGTTTTTTAATTTACAGGAAATGTATAAACAGTGGCGTCTCCATTATTCATACTTAGGGGGGTCACATAAGGGGCGAGGGACAAAAGTAGCATATAAATTTGACAAACATATAGCACATGTTCATGCTACAGAAAGCTTCACGTATGTCCTGTATTGGTTGGGGTATGTATCTGGTATATGCCAATGAATTCCACTATCCCAATGTCTTGATAATATGTACTGGTATGTTTATGCTAGAATCAGTGGTGGCTGCTCCATTGCGGAAGGAGTGTCCTGAGTAGTGGAATGGATTAAAGCCTAACCTTGCCAATAATACTCTAATATAGAGTGTGAATTTACTAGTGGTGAGGGCATTGCCATGTAAGGTAAACAAAGGTTGGTCATGGGAACCTGGAACAATGGTTAGGAATTGATCTAGTACCTGTACCAGGCACCACGTGTTACTGGTAGGGTAACTTTACCAGTTTATTCTTTGGTGTGGTTGAGGGATAGTATGTAGTGATCTTGTATTTTTACAATCTGCGACATTCCGACGGCCAGACGAGGTCGCCCCAGAAGTGCCCGGTGACGGACTTGAACCAGGGTACTTTGCAGTCCTGGGGCTGCTACTTTGCCTCTGAGCCACCATATCGGCTCTAGAGATAGATAGAAGTCTATCTTGCCTTGTACCCAGCATTGGGGGCTGGACGTTATTCTGTGGCTGCTCCAACGATCTCAGCACACCTGTGGCTGATCACAAGTTTTTTCTGCTGAGTTATTGCACACATATTATTGTGATGCCTAGTATGCTTATTGGGTTGCCTATTAAGGGATATGTTTCCTCACTGGGGAGTATTGAGTGCGCCAATAGATAGGTGCCAGTAGATGGTATGGCGACCGCTTATATTTACTTTTGCATTGCGCATGCGTGTTCATATTTAGGCTGATGAGGATAGTTATGGATTATATGATAGCAGGATACTCTTATACATATGATGGAATTTGTCTTCCGGTCACGGCTCTCTGTGATATCACTGATGGCCATCAGCTGTAAGTAGTTTGTTTATGTGTATATAATAGTTTCCTGGACGATGTTGTGATATAGTTACCCTTGATAAAGGCTACCAGGAGGAGCCGAAACGTTGGGGGATTATTTGTGACTCGTGTTTCTGCCCATATAGGCTTGTGGAATTTTGGTAAATATATTGTTAAACTTTTTTGCCTATTTGGTCACTGTTACATTTTTTATGTGAGACTTGGATTTGTATTGTAATAAAATATATATAGATATACATTATTGTATTAGTTGGTGTGCATTCCTTTCTTTTTGAATATTTGCTATATTGGTATTGAAGGGAGTACCTTCTTGGAATAGCACCCATAATTGTGGTAGCAATTATACTAAGTGTCTCTCCACATGTTGTATTTTATATGATCACAAATTAGCCAGGTATAAGACACTGCCTCTCCCTGAGGACAGTGTCAGTTCATTGACTCTGGTTCCCTTGTTTGGTTCCTGTCTTGCTATATCTGCGTTCCAGTATTTCCTGTCTGATTCTGGCTTCTGACATTGGCTTTCCTCCTGGACTACTCTGATATCTGGCTTCCCCTGACTTTGGCTTTCCTTGACTACGCTTCTGCTAATCCCTGCTGTACTGTTACTTGGAGCACTATTCCTGGAAAGCCCCCGTGCACAGACTCACAGATCAGGTGGCGTCTTACCTGGTCACCCTGGTCTGTGTCTACTTTGCAAGGGTGAGCGTATAACTCTGCGAGCCAGACTCCCCATCAGGTAAGAACCTGACATGATGTTTGTAGTGGTAAACTCTCCGGGTCTAAGGAACCCATAGAAAGCTAAGTAGATAGCGGTTTTAATGAGATGATTAGTGTGCGATTTGAAAGGGGTTGTATCCATAAGGTCTGATAATGATTAGAAGAGTTGACTATGAATAGGTGATCTAGAAGATGGTGGTGTGGGGTTTTAATTCTCAATGCCTTTTAGTATGGTTTTGATTTGATAAGATGATAGGAAACTGTGGTTGTTTGGCCAATGTGTAAGTATATGGTGTTGTGTTGTAAGATAATTTTAATTTAAGGTGGCAAAAAGAAGTGAAAGCTACAATAGTTTCCATTGAATGTTTATTTAAAACCTGAAAGTCAAACAAGAATCTGTTATAAACACGGAATGCCCTGTCGTATGACTTTCTAGTATTGTCAGACAAAGCCAATTGCGAAAGGAGTCTCCCATGAGTTAACAGATCTCTGAATCCAATGTCATGTCCTGCCATGACGGAGCCGGGGTAGCCACCAAGGCTGTCGTCGGTAAAGCTTAATTTCCTCAGAAAGCTCATGATGGTCAGAGATTTAGAACGACCTTTGTTAATTATATGGCAGGTGGCTAAGTTGTCAAAAAAAATCTCATCGCCTGACCTGACCATGCTGCTCCCCACACTACTCCCTCAGCTACAATAGGATTTGTAAAAATTTGTAGGCGTAAAAATAAGTTGGAGTTGCATAGGGAGAGATAAGTCCAACTTACCCACCTGACCAGAACGAGTATGGCATCCATATGTTATGGGCAAATGCAAATATTGTATTCCTCAAACCGTGTACTTTGTCTTTAAGAGATATTGCAAACAGACAAGGTGTTAGAAATGGAACATATTGTTTCTCATAGATGTTTCTTTAAGCAATAACCTCTTACCTACTTTCAGTGCATAATATGTTTACACCATTTTGTCCCAGACGAAATACAATAACAATAATGCATAAACAAGCTTCAAGGCACACATACCATGACAGACACACACCGTGACACAGAGAGAAACACAGACACACCATGACAGACAGACACACCATGACACAGACAGACACACACATACCATGACAGAGACACACATACCATGACAGAGACACACACATACCATGACAGACACACCTTAAAAAAGACACACACACCTTGACACACACACCATAACACAGACCTTGACACAGACACATACACGACACAGACAGACACAGAAAGATCGTGACACAGACACGCACACACACATTACATGACAGAGACAGACACACACCATGACAAACACACACACACCATGACACAGACAGACCGTGACACAGACAGACGCACACACCATGACAGTCAGAGACGCACATTGCATGACACAGACAGACACACACACACCATGACACAGATGCACACACCATGACAGACAGAGACACACAGACACACACAATGACACAGACAGACGCACACACCATGACAGTCAGAGACACACATTGCATGACACAGACACACACACACCATGACACAGATGCACACACCATGACAGACAGAGACACACAGACACACACAATGACACAGACAGACGCACACACCATAACAGTCAGAGACACACATTGCATGACACAGACACACACACACCATGACACAGATGCACACACCATGACAGACAGAGACACACACCATGACACAGACGCACACACCATGACACAGACGCACACACCATGACAGACAGAGACACACAGACAGACACACACAATGACACAGACAGACACACACAATGACACACACACACCATGACACAGACACACACACACACCATGATACAGACACACACACACACCATGATACAGACACACACACACACACACACCATGATACAGACACACACAATGTCTACCTGGGGCTGTGGGGAGCTCCCTTGGCAGCCGCAGGGTTTGCTGGCTGTTTTGGCGGCCGCAGGGGGAGCTGACTGTTCTGCCTCTGCTCCCCCTCCCCAGCGCACTGCTTACTGAGACCGGAGCCGGAATATGACGTCATATCCCGGCCGGTCTGCTCTGGGAGGAAACGGTACTCCCCAAACATATATCTTTGACTACTGAAACTCAACAAACTCTGTGACCCACCGGTGACGGCTGTCTGCCCGGCCCCAGGTACCCGGCGGCCCACCCGGGAAATTTCGGTATCCCGGTGGAAGATCGACCTGTTCATTATTACATAATATACTGGGGTGGGACATGTGATAGTTTATTGCAGGGGGCAGACTGGACACCGTGTAATAATAAGCTGGATTTCTGCTGGGGTGCAGGACGTATGATAGTTTATTGTGTGCAGGGGCAGGAATGGACACAGTGTAATAATAAACTGGATTTCTGGGGTGCAGGACGTGTGATAGTTTATTGCAGGGGGGCAGACTGGACACAGTGTAATAATAAACTGGATTTCTGGGGTGCTGGACGTGTGATAGTTTATTGCAGGGGGCAGACTGGACACAGTGTAATAATAAACTGGATTTCTGGGGTGCAGGACATGTGATGGTTTATTGCAGGGGGCAGACTGGACACAGTGTAATAATAAACTGGATTTCTGGGGTGCAGGACATGTGATGGTTTATTGCAGGGGGCAGACTGGACACAGTGTAATAATAAACTGGATTTCTGGGGTGCAGGACATGTGATGGTTTATTGCAGGGGGGCAGACTGGACACAGTGTAATAATAAACTGGATTTCTGGGGTGCAGGACATGTGATGGTTTATTGCAGGGGAGCAGACTGGACACAGTGTAATAATAAACTGGATTTCTGGGGTGCAGGACATGTGATAGTTTATTGCAGGGGGCAGACTGGACACAGTGTAATAATAAACTGGATTTCTGGGGTGCAGGACATGTGATGGTTTATTGCAGGGGAGCAGAATGGACACAGTGTAATAATAAACTGGATTTCTGGGGTGCAGGACATGTGATGGTTTATTATTGCAGGGGGCAGAATGGACACAGTGTAATAATAAACTGGATTTCTGGGGTGCAGGACATGTGATGGTTTATTGCAGGGGAGCAGACTGGACACAGTGTAATAATAAACTGGATTTCTGGGGTGCAGGACATGTGATGGTTTATTGCAGGGGAGCAGACTGGACACAGTGTAATAATAAACTGGATTTCTGGGGTGCAGGACATGTGATAGTTTATTATTGCAGGGGAGCAGAATGGACACAGTGTAATAATAAACTGGATTTCTGGGGTGCTGGACATGTGATGGTTTATTATTGCAGGGGGGCAGCACTTGGCGCGGGGGGTGGGGGTAATTAAACAGATTTGGTGTTTATTGTTACAGCCTGTTTGGGCTTCACAGGACCCCTCTATACAGTGATACAGTACACAAACTACATCTCCCGTGATGCGCTGCGCGCTGCTCTGACGTCACAGCCCGCCCGCCGGAAGTAGTGAGAGAACAAAAGGGGTTGTAGAGAAGTTAGCGGTCGGCTGGTATGTGCGGGCACCCTGCATTGTCATCATGTTAATGAGGGACCTGGGGCTGAGTGTGGGGGGGCGGCTCAGGGCTATTCAATAAACTATACTCTATGGACAGCCAGCTGAGCTTCATGGGAGTTGCAGTCCCACCACAGCTGGGGATCCCTAACATTATTACACATTGCAATCCATGGCCAATGTGAATGTGATCAGAATATTGTGTATTCCTCCAAACATTCCATTTATAGAATAATCCAACACTAACATTCCAGCTATCTGGGTCCTACACCATGGTGGCTATCCCAGCTCAGGGTCACAGGAGAACTGTGTATTATACATTGTTATAGGAATGTCAGTATTATTAACAGGGCTATACATTGTTATAGGAATGTCAGTATTAGTTACAGGGCTATACATTGTTATAGGAATGTCAGTATTAGTTACAGGGCTATACATTGTTATAGGAATGTCAGTATTAGTTACAGGGCTATACATTGTTATAGGAATGTCAGTATTAGTTACAGGGCTATACATTGTTATAGGAATGTCAGTATTAGTTACAGGGCTATACATTGTTATAGGAATGTCAGTATTAGTTACAGGGCTATACATTGTTATAGGAATGTCAGTATTAGTTACAGGGCTATACATTGTTATAGGAATGTCAGTATTAGTTACAGGGCTATACATTGTTATAGGAATGTCAGTATTAGTTACAGGGCTATACATTGTTATAGGAATGTCAGTATTAGTTACAGGGTTATACATTGCTATAGGAATGTCAGTATTATTAACAGGGCTATACATTGTTATAGGAATGTCAGTATTATTAACAGGGCTATACATTGTTATAGGAATGTCAGTATTAGTTACAGGGCTATACATTGTTACAGGAATGTCAGTATTAGTTACAGGGCTATACATTGTTACAGGAATGTCAGTATTATTAACAGGGCTATACATTGTTATAGGAATGTCAGTATTAGTTACAGGGCTATACATTGTTATAGGAATGTCAGTATTAGTTACAGGACTATACATTGTTATAGGAATGTCAGTATTAGTTACAGGGTTATACATTGTTATAGGAATGTCAGTATTAGTTACAGGGCTATACATTGTTATAGGAATATCAGTATTATTAACAGGGCTATACATTGTTATAGGAATGTCAGTATGAGTAACAGGGCTATACATTGTTATAGGAATGTCAGTATTAGTTACAGGGCTATACATTGTTATAGGAATGTCAGTATTAGTTACAGGGCTATACATTGTTATAGGAATATCAGTATGAGTTACAGGGCTATACATTGTTATAGGAATGTCAGTATTATTAACAGGGCTATACATTGCTATAGGAATGTCAGTATTATTAACAGGGCTATACATTGTTATAGGAATGTCAGTATTAGTTACAGGGCTATACATTGTTATAGGAATGTCAGTATGAGTTACATTGCTATACATTGTTATAGGAATGTCAGTATTAGTTACAGGGCTATACATTGTTATAGGAATGTCAGTATTATTAACAGGGCTATACATTGTTATAGGAATGTCAGTATTATTAACAGGGCTATACATTGTTATAGGAATGTCAGTATTAGTTACAGGGCTATACATTGTTATAGGAATGTCAGTATTAGTTACAGGGCTATACATTGTTATAGGAATGTCAGTATTAGTTACAGGGCTATACATTGTTATAGGAATGTCAGTATTAGTTACAGGGCTATACATTGTTATAGGAATGTCAGTATTAGTTACAGGGCTATACATTGTTATAGGAATGTCAGTATTAGTTACAGGGCTATACATTGTTATAGGAATGTCAGTATGAGTTACATTGCTATACATTGTTATAGGAATGTCAGTATTAGTTACAGGGCTATACATTGTTATAGGAATGTCAGTATTAGTTACAGGGCTATACATTGCTATAGGAATGTCAGTATTAGTTACAGGGCTATACATTGTTATAGGAATATCAGTATTAGTTACATGGTTATACATTGTTATAGGAATGTCAGTATTAGTTACAGGGCTATACATTGTTATAGGAATGTCAGTATTAGTTACAGGGCTATACATTGTTATAGGAATGTCAGTATGAGTTACAGGGCTATACATTGTTATAGGAATGTCAGTATGAGTTACAGGGCTATACATTGTTATAGGAATGTCAGTATGAGTTACAGGGCTATACATTGTTATAGGAATGTCAGTATGAGTTACAGGGCTATACATTGTTATAGGAATGTCAGTATTAGTTACAGGGCTATACATTGTTATAGGAATGTCAGTATTAGTTACAGGGCTATACATTGTTATAGGAATGTCAGTATTAGTTACAGGGCTATACATTGTTATAGGAATGTCAGTATTATTAACAGGGCTATACATTGTTATAGGAATGTCAGTATTAGTTACAGGGTTATACATTGTTATAGGAATGTCAGTATGAGTTACAGGGCTATACATTGTTATAGGAATGTCAGTATTAGTTACAGGGCTATACATTGTTATAGGAATGTCAGTATTAGTTACAGGGCTATACATTGTTATATGAATGTCAGTATTATTAACAGGGCTATACATTGTTATAGGAATGTCAGTATAAGTTACAGGGCTATACATTGTTATAGGAATGTCAGTATGAGTTACAGGGCTATACATTGTTATAGGAATGTCAGTATTAGTTACAGGGCTATACATTGTTATAGGAATGTCAGTATTAGTTACAGGGCTATACATTGTTATAGGAATGTCAGTATTAGTTACAGGGTTATACATTGTTATAGGAATGTCAGTATGAGTTACAGGGCTATACATTGTTATAGGAATGTCAGTATGTGTTACAGGGCTATACATTGTTATAGGAATGTTAAAGGCTAGTTAAGAGGGGTTATACATTGTTATAGGAATGTCAGTACTAAAGGCTATGGGCTATACATTGCTAGGAATGTCAGTATTAGTTACAGGGCTATGCCATTGTTATAAATGCTCAGTATTATTACAGGGCTATACATTGTTATAGGAATGTCAGTATTATTAACAGGGCTATACATTGTTATAGGAATGTCAGTATTAGTTACAGGGCTATACATTGTTATAGGAATGTCAGTATTAGTTACAGGGCTATACATTGTTATAGGAATGTCAGTATTAGTTACAGGGCTATACATTGTTATAGGAATGTCAGTATTAGTTACAGGGCTATACATTGTTATAGGAATGTCAGTATTAGTTACAGGGCTATACATTGTTATAGGAATGTCAGTATTAGTTACAGGGCTATACATTGTTATAGGAATGTCAGTATTAGTTACAGGGCTATACATTGTTATAGGAATGTCAGTATTAGTTACAGGGCTATACATTGTTATAGGAATGTCAGTATTAGTTACAGGGCTATACATTGTTATAGGAATGTCAGTATTAGTTACAGGGTTATACATTGCTATAGGAATGTCAGTATTATTAACAGGGCTATACATTGTTATAGGAATGTCAGTATTATTAACAGGGCTATACATTGTTATAGGAATGTCAGTATTAGTTACAGGGCTATACATTGTTACAGGAATGTCAGTATTAGTTACAGGGCTATACATTGTTACAGGAATGTCAGTATTATTAACAGGGCTATACATTGTTATAGGAATGTCAGTATTAGTTACAGGGCTATACATTGTTATAGGAATGTCAGTATTAGTTACAGGACTATACATTGTTATAGGAATGTCAGTATTAGTTACAGGGTTATACATTGTTATAGGAATGTCAGTATTAGTTACAGGGCTATACATTGTTATAGGAATATCAGTATTAATTACAAATTCGTGTTATAGAATGTCAAGTATTAGTTACAGGGCTATATTGTTATGGAATGTCGGTATTGATTACAAATTTCTATACATTGTTGTTATAGGAATATCGATATTAACAGAGACTATACATTGTTATAGGAATGTCAGTATTAGTTACAGGGCTATACATTGCTATAGGAATGTCAGTATTAGTTACAGGGCTATACATTGTTATAGGAATGTCAGTATTAGTTACAGGGTTATACATTGTTATAGGAATGTCAGTATGAGTTACAGGGCTATACATTGTTATAGGAATAATCAGTATGAGTTACATTATCCATTATCCAAAGGAATGTCAGTATTAGTTACAGGGCTATACATTGCTATAGGAATGTCAGTATTAGTTACAGGGCTATACATTGTTATAGGAATATCAGTATTAGTTACATGGTTATACATTGTTATAGGAATGTCAGTATGAGTTACAGGGCTATACATTGTTATAGGAATGTCAGTATTAGTTACAGGGCTATACATTGTTATAGGAATGTCAGTATTAGTTACAGGGCTATACATTGCTATAGGAATGTCAGTATTAGTTACAGGGCTATACATTGTTATGCGGCTGCAGTCTGGCTTGTATGTTCAGGTTTTCCTTGTTGCAGAGACCAAGCCTGCTGCCTATTTCCAAACAAAATAATTGATGAGTCTCAATTTAACCACTTTCAAAGTGGTTAAATTTATGGGGTTTATTACAGTTGCACCATGCTGCTATACTAGCAATATTTAGACACAGTCTATTTTATTAATTTTCTTTCAAATTATTTTGTCTTTTCTGTACATTTTCAGAATGGCTGTGATGTAATAGAAACGCAGAAAATCGCCCCCTAAGGACATCACTCAAAGGTCATTTCACCAAGACCAGAGCCCATTCCATGAGATTTCAATCAATTTCAATAATGAAAAAGTACAGGAATCAGATGACTGAGAGGATATTAAATCTCACCCTGGAGATCATCTACCTGCTGACTGGACAGGTGAGGGATTCTGGGTAATGTCAGTATGGAGATCATCTACCTACTGACTGGAGAGGTGAGGGATTCTGGGTAATGTCACCATGGAGATCATCTACCTGCTGACTGGAGAGGTGAGGGATTCTGGGTAATGTCATTATGGAGATCATCTACCTGCTGACTGGAGAGGTGAAGGATTCTGGGTAATGTCATTATGGAGATCATCTACCTGCTGACTAGAGAGGTGAGGGATTCTGGGTAATGTCATTATGGAGATCATCTACCTGCTGACTGGAGAGGTGAGGGATTCTGGGTAATGTCAATATGGAGATCATCTACCTGCTGGCTGGAGAGGTGAGGGATTCTGGGTAATGTCATTATGGAGATCATCTACCTGCTGGCTGGAGAGGTGAGGGATTCTGGGTAATGTCACCATGGAGATCATCTACCTGCTGACTGGAGAGGTGAGGGATTCTGGGTAATGTCACTATGGAGATCGTCTACCTGCTGACTGGAGAGGTGAGGATTCTGGGTAATGTCATTATGGAGATCGTCTACCTGCTGACTGGAGAGGTGAGGGATTCTGGGTAATGTCATTATGGAGATCATCTACCTGCTGACTGGATAGGTGAGGGATTCTGGGTAATGTCAGTATGGAGATCATCTACCTGCTGACTGGAGAGGTGAGGGATTCTGGGTAATGTCACCATGGAGATCATCTACCTGCTGGCTGGAGAGGTGAGTGATTCTGGGTAATGTCATTATGGAGATCATCTACCTGCTGACTGGAGAGGTGAGGGATTCTGGGTAATGTCAGTATGGAGATCATCTACCTGCTGGCTGGAGAGGTGAGGGATTCTAGGTAATGTCAGTATGGAGATCGTCTACCTGCTGACTGGAGAGGTGAGGGATTCTGGGTAATGTCATTATGGAGATCATCTACCTGCTGACTGGAGAGGTGAGGGATTCTGGGTAATGTCATTATGGAGATCATCTACCTGCTGCCTGGAGAGGTGAGGGATTCTGGGTAATGTCAGTATGGAGATCATCTACCTGCTGGCTGGAGAGGTGAGGGATTCTGGGTAATGTCATTATGGAGATCATCTACCTGCTGACTGGAGAGGTGAGGGATTCTGGGTAATGTCTGGATAATGTCATTATGGAGATCATCTACCTGCTGGCTGGAGAGGTGAGGGATTCTGGGTAATGTCACCATGGAGATCATCTACCTGCTGACTGGAGAGGTGAGGGATTCTGGGTAATGTCAGTATGGAGATCATCTACCTGCTGGCTGGAGAGGTGAGGGATTCTGGGTAATGTCATTATGGAGATCATCTACCTGCTGCCTGGAGAGGTGAGGGATTCTGGGTAATGTCACTATGGAGATCATCTACCTGCTGGCTGGAGAGGTGAGGGATTCTGGGTAATGTCAGTATGGAGATCATCTACCTGCTGGCTGGAGAGGTGAGGGATTCTGGGTAATGTCATTATGGAGATCATCTACCTGCTGACTGGAGAGGTGAGGGATTCTGGGTAATGTCACTATGGAGATCATCTACCTGCTGGCTGGAGAGGTGAGGGATTCTGGGTAATGTCAGTATGGAGATCATCTACCTGCTGACTGGAGAGGGGAGGGATTCTGGGTAATGTCACTATGGAGATCATCTACCTGCTGGCTGGAGAGGTGAGAGATTCTGGGTAATGTCACCATGGAGATCATCTACCTGCTGACTGAAGAGGTGAGGGATTCTGGGTAATGTCATTATGGAGATCATCTACCTGCTGACTGGAGAGGTGAGGGATTCTGGGTAATGTCAGTATGGAGATCATCTACCTGCTGGCTGGAGAGGTGAGGGATTCTGGGTAATGTCATTATGGAGATCATCTACCTGCTGACTGGAGAGGTGAGGGATTCTGGGTAATGTCATTATGGAGATCATCTACCTGCTGACTGGAGAGGTGAGGGATTCTGGGTAATGTCATTATGGAGATCATCTACCTGCTGGCTGGAGAGGTGAGGGATTCTGGGTAATGTCAGTATGGAGATCATCTACCTGCTAACTGGAGAGGTGAGGGATTCTGGGTATTCCACGGTGACACAGGCTTTATTTAAGAAACATAGCTCTGTGTTAATTTAGAATTGATGTAAATGGATATTATAAATCAGTAACAAAATGTTGTTTAATTATTAGATAGATCAAGGAAAAGTTTGCAACAATAGGCAGAGCTTACAGAACTATATTAATCTGTAAATTAAATGTAAATTCTTGAGCCTTTTATAAGAATGTAATCAGGAAACTGCATAATCCGAGAGATGCATCTCCTTACCTGACTTTGTGTATTTCAATATGTAGGATTATGTTATTGTGAAAAAGCCTTACGAGCGTGTCCCACACAGTATCAGTAAAGAAGGCTTTTCCAGGACTCACAGCCCCAACACTGTGCTTCCACCTCACTCACTGATACATGAGAAGAAGATCCTGGAACTGACCAATCAGATCATCCAGCTGCTGACTGGAGAGGTGAGGCTGCTGGGAATGGGACATTATACAGTAAAACCAAGGGATGTGTCTGGATGGTGACTGTATCATTGTGTGTGTCAGGTTCCTATAAGGTGTGAGGATGTCACGGTCTATTTCTCCATGGAGGAGTGGGAATATTTAGAAGGACACCAGGATCTATACAAGGACGTAATGATGGAGAATCATCATACCCTCAGCTTACTCGGTAAGATCCATATAGAGATAGATATAGATATATATATATATATATATATATATATACATACACCGAATAAAATTATAAATGCAACACTTTTGTTTTTGCCCCCATTTTTCATGAACTGAACTCAAAGATCTAAGACTTTTTTTCTATGTACACAGAAAGCATATTTCTCTCAAATATTGTTCACAAATCTGCCTAAATCTGTGTTAGTGAGCACTTCTCCTTTGCCGAGCTAATCCATCCATCTCACAGGTGTGACATATCAAGATGCTGATTACACAGCATGATTATTGCACAGGTGTGCCTTAGGCTGGCCACAATAAAAGGCCACTCTAAAATGTGCAGTTTTACTGTATTGGGGGGGGGGTCCAAAAACCAGTCCGTATCTGGTGTGACCACCATTTTCCTCACTCAGTGCAACACATCTCCTTCACATAGAGTTGATCAGGTTGTTGATTGTGGCCTGTGGAATGTTGGTCCACTCCTCTTCAATGGCTGTGCGAAGTTGCTGGATATTGGCAGGACCTGGAACACTCTCATATACGCTGATCCATTGCATCCCAAACATGCTCAATGGGTGACATGTCCGGTGAGTTTGCTGGCCATGCAAGAGCTGGGATGTTTTCAGCTTCCAGGAATTGTGTACAGATCCTTGCAACATGGGGCCCTGCATTATCATGCTGCAACATGAGGTGATGGTCGTGGATGAATGGCACAACAATGGGCCTCAGGACGTCGTCACTGTATCTCTGTGCATTCAAAATGCCATCAACAAAATGCACCTGTGTTCGTTGTCCATAACAAACGCCTGCCCATACCATTACCCCACCGCCACCATGGGCCACTCGATCCACAATGTTGACATCAGCAAACCGCCTACCCACACAACGCTGTACACACTGTCTGCCATCTGCCCTGTACAGTGAAAAATGGGATTCATCCGTGAAGAAAACACCTCTCCAAAGTGCCAGACATCATCGAATGTGAGCATTTGCCAACTCAAGTCGGTTACGACAAACTGCAGTCAGGTCCAGACCCTAATGAGGATGGCGAGCATGCAGATGAGCTTCCCTGAGACTGTTTTTGACAGTGTGTGCAGAACCGATTGTTGCAGCAGCTGTCCGGGTGGCTGGTCTCAGACGATCTTGGAGGTGAAGATGCTGTATGTGGAAGTCCTGGGCTGGTGTGGTTACACGTGGTCTACGGTTGTGAGGCCGGTTGGATGTACTGCTAAATTCTCTGAAACGCTTTTTTAGACGGCTTATGGTAGAGAAATGAACATTAAATTCACAGGCAACAGCTCTGGTGGACATTCCTGCAGTCAGCATGCCAATTGCATGCTCCATCAACACTTGAGACATCTGTGGCATTGTGCTGGGTGATAAAAATGCACATTTTAGAGTGGCATTTTATTGTGGCCAGCCTAAGGCACACCTGTGCAATAATCCTGCTGTCTAATCAGCATCTTGATATGCCACACCTGTGAGGTGGATGGATTATCTCGGCAAAGGAGAAGTGCTCACTAACACAGATTTAGACAGATTTGTGAACAATATTTGAGAGAAATAGGCCTTTTGTGTACATAGAAAAAGTCTTAGATCTTTGGGTTCAGCTCATGAAAAATGGGGACAAAAACAAGTGTTGCGTTTATAATTTTGTTCAGTGTATATATATTTTATTTTTTGTATCTCTTTATTTTTGAAGGTATTCATCAAACAGAACAATATTGCATCAATAAAAGCAAGCATGGGCGTGTATTTAAATATCCTCATATCACAGAGTTTTTTTATGTGTATGTATAGAAAACTGGATACAAGAAATTAATTAAACTTAAAAAAGGAATACCATGGCATTAGAAAACAAATCTATTCCTAACGCTGCAGTGTCCCTTTACCTAGCTCTACATAGGTGTTTGCCATAAAAAAATAATAATTGGGCAGTATTTACAACAATGTCCAAGGCAGGGCTCAGCAGATGTAAAACCCTACCCAGTTTGTAGAATAAAGGCATGCGATTATAGTCTGTTTATACATGAAAAAAACGTGTCCTAGTTTTCTACCTTTAGAAATTAGTTCTAATCATTGTACTTATTTCCAACAGATATAAGCATGGACAGAGTTAAAACCAACGGATTATGCTCCCTCACATCGCCAGACTGCTTCACTGAATCTAAACAAAATAACCAGAGACACGTAGAACCAACTTTATTTAAACCGAGCCCTGCAACGCAGAAAACTGTTATAAATGCAACAAACAAAGAGGTTTCGTATGAAAAAGGAAATATTACTGATGTTTATAAACCCAGAGGACATACACAGAGGGAACATTCATCCACTGTTATTAATAAGGAATCTACCGCAAATGAATGTAGGAATTCCTCAGCCATGGACATTTATACACACACACCGACAGAATGTCCATCTACGCATGTTAAGGTGGACTCTGGCTCAGCTAAAGGTAGAAATGTAGCAGACACTGACATTTATACACCCACAGCACATACACAGATGGAATGTGCATCAACTCTTATTAAGAAGGAATCAGCCTCACATGAATCATCCATGTGTAGTGATGGAAAAATCACCCACACGGACCATTATGCATCCAGGGAACACACAGAAATAGAATATACTCCGATTAATAAAGACTCCACAACACACGAAGAAATAAATCTCACTGATATTTTTCTAACTGCAGAGCACACATCTATCCCTTTTGTGGAGCAAAGCAACACAATGAGTCAGAAATTGAATGTAAACAAAGACTCGCAGGTAAGGACGTACAATGAGTTTAATAAAACATCTACTACTACTACACAAAATTCAAGTGCGTTAGAAAGAATTTACACAAACTCTGGGTATAAAACATTTTTCAGTATCCACTCAGATCGTGTTAAACAACAAGGAATTACAAAAGACCAGAAGACCAGTGCAGTAAAAGAACCGTTCCTATGCAAAGCCTGTGGAAGATGCTTTGATGAAGAAGGCCTTCTCAAACTTCATTGGATAACCCACCTTGGAGAAAGGACCTTTACATGTTCTGAATGTGGGGAGCATTTCCCGTTACATGCAGAGCTTATTAAACACATGAAAACGCATAGGGGAAGAAAGATGTATCCTTGCTCTGACTGTGGAAAGTCATTCAACCGGGAGTCGCACCTTAATCTGCATTTGAGAACTCACACGGGAGAGAAGCCATATTCTTGCACAGAATGTGGAAAATCTTTTAGTCAGAAGTCCCATCTTGGTAGACATCAAAGCGTTCACACAGGAGTGAAACAATATGCTTGTTTTGAGTGTGGGATTCATTTTATTCGTAAGTCTGACCTCGTTCTGCATCAGCGTAGTCACAGCCGGGTGGAGGCTTTCATATGTTCTGACTGTGGGAAATGTTTTACCCACCACTCGAGTCTTCTTCTCCATCAGAAAAGTCATACGAGTGAAAATGTCTTGTTCTGAATGGGAAATGTTCTTGAATATTGGGCTGTGTGCGTCTAAACTGGACCATTCATGATGGAAACAATTCAGCTATAAATATATTGTAATTTGTAATTAAATTTAGTTCTATGCAGTTCTTTTTCATTATTTTGGGTATCATAGTCCAAATAAGGGAGAGCAAGAAAAATATACACTGTTATATTTGTGTGTTTTTACCAACTAAATTTTGTCTTTTTTTTTGCACGCAGCCAAAATAATCCTTTAAACAATTTAAACGTTTAGTATTTATCGTTTACTTTAAAAAGGAGAGGGAAAAACATAACATAATCCTTCCTGTTGAATAGTTACTCCAAGCATCATGATCACTTCATCCACTTGAAGTGGTCATTGTGCCTGGAGTCTGATTGTGTAGCATACCGCTTTAACCACTTAGCTACTGGTGATGTAACTACACTTCTGGCCCAGAATAATGTTTTGGCCTGATGTCAATGTCGATTCTGTGCAGAATTGGCACCAGACACCAACTCACATAGCATGTTGGTGGCATATCTTTCTCCTCTGCCCCCAGGCTGCCACTGTAAGAAAGGGTTGCTATAATCAAAACTTGTGTTTTATCAAAACATTGTTTTTTTGTTTTTTGTTTGAGTAAGTCTTTAAAGGGACACTCCAGTGCCAGGAAAACAAATCGTTTTCCTGGCACTGCAGGTCCCCTCTCCCTCCCACCCCCCATCCCATGTTGCTGAAAACCCCTTCAGTGACTTACCTGAGACCACTGCTGATGTCCCACGGCGGTGGCTTAGGGTCCGCCCACCGACGTCAGCCGGTGGGGGAGACCGATTGCGCATGCACGGCCGCTGGCGGGATGAGACATAATGCGCTTTAGACCTCTCCATGGGGATTTTAGCGATGCTGTGCTATAGACCAGGAAGTGCCCTCTAGTGGCTGTCTAGTAGACAGCCACTAGAGGAGGAATTAACCCTGCAAGGTAATTATTGCAGTTTGTGAAAACTGCAATATTTACAGTTGCAGGGTTAAGGGTAGTGGGAGTTGGCACCCAGACCACTCCAATGGGCAGAAGTGGTCTGGGTGCCTGGAGTGTCCCTTTAAATCACTTTGAGGTTTACAGCTTGTTGATACTATTCCATCATTTAGCCTTTCTCGTTTTACTAGATAGGAACCATGTTAAAGAGTATCCTGTGAAGAAAAAAGAAAAATATCTAGAAAATAATAATGAGGCTGGTGATATGTTTTGAAAACAACTTTTATGAATTAATTTCTGGCAAGGTTTGCTCAACCTTTTCATCCTTCTGAAGTCGATAAATTTCAGCTTGGTAATAATAACGTATTGACCCCAAACCACGAGTTAAACTGTGAAATTATAATTAAGATATTTTTCAAATGGATGAGTTAAAAACACACAGGACTTTATTCACTAAACAGTAAATTATAATGGACAACATTTTTATTTATTTTTTTAAATCTAAGCTAAACTAGCAAATCCATGGGCTGGAGAATTTTACCAGTTATTTTGGCTTATGTTTTTTTTAGCTCTGTTTTAATATCACTACAGTCCATTAGTCAATGAATAATCCCTAAAATAGTTCAAGCAAACTAATGAATATATTAAAGGTGACATCACTTCCCAGGATATTTTGTATATTATTTTTACATATTTGCTCTATTTACTATACTTATGAGAAATCTGAAAAGTCAACACTGTGTTTACCTCTGGCTATAGCTACACCTTGGCTACCTGCATTTTTAGAAAAAAAAAAACCTTTGCACCTATCGGTCAACAAAGTGAAAGGAGGAGAAACAGATACATTGATTTTCTTTCTCCTTTTGCAATGCTTGCCCTGGCAGTGGCACATGTGAACCGGATTGTGATGTCCATTTTAATATTTAATATACTTTTAAGAGAAAACTGACCATCGCTTTAAACATTTAATACTAGTCACAGGTGGTTTTCAAAGATTTTTTTTTAATGGTGTTATTTTCAAAGATGTGGCAGATCCATTTTAACCCCTTAAGGACACATGACGTGTGACATGTCACGATTCCCTTTTATTCCAGAAGTTTGGTCCTTAAGGGGTTAAAGGGGTACTCCAACCAAACAAACAGTATTTTAATAAAACGCTGTTTATGATTAGAGTAAACCTAGCTGGCGTGTTTCCCTCCCCCACCAAAGAGTAAAAAAGAAAGAAAGAAAGAAATAACATTAAAGGGACACTATAGTCACCAAAATAACTTTAGCATAATAAAGCAGTTTTGGTGTATAGATAATGTCTGTGCAGTCTCACTGCTCAATTCTCTGCTGTTTCGGAGTTAAATCACTTTGTTTATGTTGCCCTAAGCACACCTCTCTGCATAAATTATTACAAAGCCTTCCTAAACACTTCCTGTAAAGAGTAATCTAATGTTTATTTTAGAATGTCTTATCTCCTGCTCTGTTAATAACCTGTTAGACCCTGCAAGAGCATCCTGTATGTGATTACGGTTTAATTTACAGAGCAGGAGATAAAACGTTTTAAATCAAGTTACATCTGATTGAAAATGAAACCGTTTTTGTCCATGCAGGCTGCGTCAGTCACAGCCAGGGGAGGTGTGGCTAGGGCTGCATAAACTGAAAAAAGAGTGATTTAACTCCTAGATGGCAGAGAAAGAAGCAGTGAGACTGCAAAGAAACAATCTATACACTAAAACTGCTTAACTTAGCTAAAGTTGTTTTGGTTATTATAGTGTCTCTTTAAAGTTTCCTGCAATCCGACGCCAAGGCCAAGTTGTTTCTGCAGTTGACATCAATCCCCCTCACTGCAGGGAAGATGAATGTCCAGAGACTGTGCTGAAGGGAGGACTTGGGCAGGGGCTTTGCTGCTATTCGTTATCTGCTGCCAGTATGCTTTGCACAGATTGCCATCCCAGAACTGACATTTTATCTTGACATGTCCCCTATCTTGTAAGGAACATATGAGCATTATTGTCCATATCTTTGTACATTCTTCCCAGTTCAAGCAGGCAAATCGATGGTTCACACCAGAGAGTAATGTAGCATAGTTTATATACATAATAAAATGGAAACAATCAGAATGGGATGTGAGTTCTTTAGCATGTAATGGAATTAAAATTGATTCTCTCAATGGCAGCAACAGGTGTTTTACCTACATTACATTTGTGATCTTAAAGGGACACTATAGTCAGCAGAACAACTACATCTTAATGCAGTTCTGGTGTCTATAGTCAGTACCTGCAGGCTTTTCAATGGCTTTTCTCAGAAAAGGCAGTGTTTACATTACTGTCTAGGAACAGCTCTAGTGACAGTCACTCAGACGGCCACTAGAGGTGATTACTGGGGTAGCACTGTACAATTTGCAGCACTGACATTCAGTGTCTCCATGCTCTGCATAGAGGAGCTGAATGTTCCACATAGAGATTCATTGATTCAGTGCAGCTCCATGAGGAGATGCTGATTGATGCATTGGGTTGGCTGAAATTGTCAGGTTTGTCAGCCAAGGGGGTGGAGCCAGCTACAAATAGACCTGCACAATGCTGGAAAAGGCAAGTAAAATCACCTTTTACTCTACTGACCTAAACAGCACTATTAGAAGTACAGTGTCAGGAATACGATATTAATATTGTCAGGAATGTAGTGTTCCTTTAAAGTACTACTAGCATTCATACTGAATACAGGACACACGTGCAGGAATGGCTGCACTCAGGCTGTTTGATGCATTGCTTAGACGTGCACTGAATCCAATGCTTTTCTTTGAGACTATTGGACAACGTCTGCGTCACCATGCTGTTTTTGATTATGCCAAATATGACAACCTTTCAAATGAAGTGTAGGTTTAGTTTTAGACATTGTACAAAAAGAAAGAAACGGCATACGTGCACCAAAACTAGTACATCAAAGGGTTTCTCCTATCACTACGACTACTTCTGCACTTAGAAGTGGTGATGGTGGTATGAATGTGTATGTGCAGCATTTCTGTTTAAAGCGTGCACATATGCTCTGAGCTGATGAAGCATTTGATTGGACGTTCCTAGAGCAGCAGTGACATCAGACAGGGAGTGGAATGTAGCATGGGTGAACTTTACCGGGTGCTGGATTCCAGGTACGTTTGATAATTATTTTTTGCAGGTTTTAACGGGAGGGACCTAATTAGTGATGCCCAATCGCGGATGCTAGATAAAAAGACAACTATTATTTAAAAAGGGACAGGCTTCCCCAAACTCCGCCCATCCACATGTTGCTGAACTACAACTCCCATGATTCTATGAAGGAAATAGGCTGAGAATCATGGGAGTTGTAGTTCAGCAACATCTGGAGGGCTGGAGTTTGGGGAAGCCTGCTTTAAGATATAGTGGTTTTGCTGCTTAGAGTCTCCCTTTAATTACGCCATTCCTATTGAATCCTAACATGGAAACATCAAACATGATCATATTTATAGATATAATTCTGCCATTCTCTCATATTAGTAAATATAATTCTTGTTCTTTCTTAGCCGACAAAATATGTAATTTTTTTACATGTATTTTATTTCATACTGAGGGTGTGTAAATATTTAGTTATTAGGTTTTTGACATATCTAACACTAGCAGGACCATTAAAGTAGCACTGCTGCATTAGGAACACAAAATTGTATTTCTAACGCTGTGGTGTCCCTTTCCCTATTACTGTAGGCCCCTCACACCCAAACACTCGACAAGCAAACCTGTTTATTGAACAAGAGGCAGGATATTATTATGGTAAGATGTTACGTTAAAGCTCAACAAACACTTAAAACAAATTATATCTAAAAAAAGACAGTATAGATAGAAAGTTGTCCAAATATTCCCAATAATAAATTGAGGGAAGTAGCTATAGGTATTATACCGATTTCTTTTTTAGAATGGTTTTAGTGGCAAATTGAAAACTTAACACAAGGTGGCAATGTTAACACAAAAAGCAGATCCTATTATAGTGTCTCCCTTGTAGCTAAACACAAGTTTGATACGTAATGTAAAGCAATACAAGTTGCAATCTTAATACTTGACACATGGTGGCAGTATATAAACATAAATCAGGTTCAGTTTACATATATACAATGCAGATACAGTAGCAGTCTTGTATTTACACACCAGTTAGGTGGTTTAAATCCCAGTAATCAGGGCCGTCTTTAACGCGGGTCAAACGGGGCAGCTGCTCTGTGGGCCCCGCGATTTGTGCAGCCCCTATGGACCGTGCCCCGACACTGACTTCGGTATCTATATACTGGCGGCCACCCAAGATAGTCGGCAGGGGCCCGGTCGGGCGCTGTGGCCCTTAAACAGCGCGACCGGGCCCCTCTTCCGGTTCTGCAGCCGGCTGGGAGGAAGTGACGTCACTTCCTCCCACCGGAGATAATGGCCGCGCGGAAGGAGGAAGGCAGGGAGGAGGGGAGTTCCAGAGGAGAACTCCCATCTGCCTCAGCCTGCCACTGGACCAGGGAAACCACCCTCCAGGAAAAGGTAAGAACCTGGAGGGTGGCTAAATGTCTGTCTGTGTGTGTATGTCTGTGTGTATGCCAGTATGTCTGTGTCTGTGTGTGTCAGTATGTCTGTGTGTATGCCAGTATGTCTGTGTGTGTGTGTGTCAGTATGTCTGTGTGTATGCCAGTATGTCTGTGTGTGTGTGTGTGTCAGTATGTCTGTGTGTATGCCAGTATGTCTGTGTATGTGTGTGTGTGTACGTGTGTGTCAGTATGTCTGCCAGGATATATTTGTGTGTCAGTGTATGTGTGTGTCAGTATGTATCTGTGAATGTTTTAATGTCTGTCTGTGTGTATGTGCCAGTACGCCTGTCTGTGTGTATGTCAGTATGTCTGTGTGTGTGTGTCAGCATGTCTTTGTGTGTCAGTATGTCTGTGTGTGTATGTAAGTATGTCTGTGTGTGTATGTGTGTGTCAGTCAGTATGTCTGTCAGTGTATGTGTCTGTGTGTGTATGTATGTATGTCTGTGTGTCAGTATGTCTGCCAGGATATATTTGTATGTCAGTGTATGTGTGTTGCAGTATATATCTGTGAATGTTTTAATGTCTGTCTGTATCAGCCATTACGTCTGTCTGTGTATATGTCAGTATGCCTGTGTGTGTGTCAGTGTGTATGTCAGTATGCCTGTGTGTGTGTCAATGTGTCTGTCAGTGTATGTGTCTGTGTGTTTTAGTATATCTGTCATTGTATGTGTTTGTGTGTGTGTCAGTATATCTGTTAATGTATGTGTCTGTGTATGTATGTATGTAAGTCTGTGTGTGTGTGTGTGTGTGTGTGTGTCAGTATGTCTGCCAGTATATATTTGTGTGTAGTGACTGTGTGTGTCAGTATGTATCTGTGAATGTTTTAATGTCTGTCTGTGTGTGTATGTGCCAGTATGTCTGTCAGTGTGATTGCGGGTTGGACGTAATTGGGGGGTGAGGCAGTGGCAGGGACAGGGCCCATGGGGCCCAAGAAAATGCATTGCCCAGGGTCCTAATCATATTATAGACGGCCCTGCTAGTAATAACAGAAATATAGAATCCGGTGGCTTTCTTGCAGACATCAATATTGAGAGAGAGATTGCATATAGTGTCCAGGACATGATAACGAGAGAAATCTCAATCCTTCCTGGTAAAATATTTTATAATGAAATAAAGAACGATGATAAATATGTACGTTGTAAGTGATCTTTAGTGGTGCAGTCACGTGTGTAAGAATTATATAGCGCCTGCCTCATGGAATTTTAGAACCAGCTGTTTCATCAAAATACAATTAATGACACTTTTAGGAGAATAGGGAAAAATAAGTGGCATAGTTAAATATTGGAGGTGCCGTTGCCAAGGTGATCAGGTAACACCTCTACAGCCTAAGGCAAGAAGTACATAACGATCAGCTGTTGCCACGATTACTCACCTGAGAATAGTAATCAACCCTGCTGCTAATCAGTGCAGCCTATTTAAGCAGCTAATCCCAGAACCTCCTTGCCCTTATTATTATTATTATTGCCATTTATATAGCGCCAACAGATTCCGTAGCGCTTTACAATATTTTGATGTAACAATAAATAGGACAATTACAAGAAAACTTACAGGAACAATAGGTTGAAGAAGATCCTGCTCAAACGAGCTTACAGACTATAGGAGGTGGGGTATTAGAAACATTAGGACAAGAAATATCAAGTAGGAGTGAAGCAGAGCTGGAGGAGAGAGCAAAGCACTGTCCCATAGGAGAGAGCAGGAGACAGGTATGTAAGGTAGAGATTACTCTGGGAGGCCATAAGCTTTCCTGAAGAGATGGGTTTTAAGGCCATTGCATGGTTTCCTGTTCCCCAGAAGTCTCCTTGTTCCTGTGTTTCCTGTGTGTTCCTGGTTCCTGACTCTGGCTTTGTTCCTGACTTCGCTGCTCTCCTGTTTGTTCCAGGTTCCTGATTCTGGCCTTGTTCCTGACTTCGCTGCTCTCCTGTGTGTTCCTGGTTCCTGACTCTGGCCTTGTTCCTGACTTCGCTGCTCTCCTGTTTGGTCCGGGTTCCTGATTCTGGCCTTGTTCCTGACTTCGCTGCTCTCCTGTGTGTTCCTGGTTCCTGACTCTGGCCTTGTTCCTGACTTCGCTGCTCTCCTGTTTGTTCCTGGTTCCTGACTCTGGCCTTGTTCCTGACTTCGCTGCTCTCCTGTTTGTTCCTGGTTCCTGACTCTGGCCTTGTTCCTGACTTCGCTGCTCTCCTGTGTGTTCCTGGTTCCTGACTCTGGCCTTGTTCCTGACTTCGCTGCTCTCCTGTTTGTTCCTGGTTCCTGACTCTTGCCTTGGTCCTGACTTCGCTGCTCTCCGTTCTCCGGATCCTGGCTCGTCTGACTACACGCTCTGGTGCCTGACCCCCACTTGCCTCCTGGACTTTGCTTTTGGTTATTACTTTATTTTCTATTTATTAATAAAGGTGTTTTTGCATCTAGTTCTGTCTCTGTCTGGTTCCTGGTCCCTAACAATATACAGAGGTACACTTAATGAGAATGTGTTAAACTGCTGTGGAACAAACACATAACGGCCTCAAGTCATGAACACACAGAATATCAGAAAAACAACCATTTTATTGTTTGGATAATCTGGTTGGCAAAGAAAACCCATCAATAAAAAAAGAAAAAATACATTTGTAGAATAATCAAGGGGAAACATACAGGTTAATGCAGAGTTAACTTTTTTACAATACTGTTTTTTAATCTCGATCCAGATAGAATATATAAGACTCAAATGGTATCTGAGTTTACGAAAGCAATGTGCCAAGACAGACAAAGTGATCCACACGCCTTTACTCTAACTTCAGAATATTCCTCATTAAAATAATAACTTACATGCTATACACACTGTCTCTCCAAGAGGCTCCCACAGGCTGAAGCATAGGGAAGCATTGGGATGAAGTGGTCTGAGGCCGTGGTCCTTTAGTTTTAACCCTGCAAGCAGTTTTTTTTAGAAACTACCAATGTTATATTGTTGGGATAAATTCGCCGCTTGTGGCTGACTTCCTGGCAGCCACTCGAGGAGCTTCCTGCTCCAGACCAAGTAAAACTCATTCTGGGAATTGGAGGAGCGCGGCATTTGGTATCGCATGCGCACCACCAATTCTATGCTCCAATGAACTGGAAGATACCGTAAAGATGTCAGCAGGCATTGGTACTAATCTACCACAAAAGTATGAGCCTGTGATCAGTATGTTGGAACAGGTATTAACCATGTGAGTTATCGCGTTATCTTAATGAAAAACTTTTGTTGGCAGACCTTGTCCCTTTCACGTGGCAATGTAAGTAAAAACAAACATCAACAAAAACCAACATTGCTTGAAACAGGGGATAAATACACCTGTAATGGCTGTCAGACTGAAAGGCACTAGAGGTGCTACCTCACTGAAGGCTTTCATTTATTCCAGGCCTTCACATTCAACAATATAATGCAAAAACACACATCACCAACCTCTGGGAATGCTTCTCATATACAAGGATCTGATTCACTGTAATATGAGAAGCATCCGAATGGCTGAGCAGCAGATCCTCAATACCTCTCTATCAGACGTATTAGCAAGGACCAGAGATCGAAAGAGGAGTGGCAGAAGGTGCCAGGAGGAAACGGCCTGGATGACTGGGGAGGGTTTTTTTTGGGAGGTTATAAGGCAGAGGGAATAATCTAAATCTAAGGGAGACTATAAAGTTATAAATAAATATCTTAAGTTTTAATGTTAGAACGTGCCTTTGGACAGAGGGGACATGATAGCATTATACAAATATATTTAGGGCCAATATAAACCATTTTCTGGAAATAATTTAATTAATATGATGATACATAGACTGGAAGAAAGGAGATTTAGTCTAAGGCAAATAAAAGGGTTCTTCGTAGTAAGAACAAAAAGGATGTGGATTTTCAAAAGGTGACTGGGTGAATTTATTCAAAAACATAATATTCAGTATGTGGGGTAACAGCTTCTTGGTCCGAGGATTGATCTGACTGTCTGTCGGGGGCCGAGAAGGATATTTTTCAAAGTTTGCTGCAAAATTGGAAAATGTGATTCAAACTGGGTTTTTTGCCTTCTTTTGTATCAACAGCAGAGAGATATGAAAAAGGCTTAACTTGATGGACAAAAATATTTTTTCAGATAATGTAACTATTCATAAAAGAACCTTAAACACCTATTAAAGGACCACTCAGTTACCAGAACAACTTAATCAGAAGTAACAAAACAAGACTTTCAGCAAATGTACTGTATTACAACTACTCTAGTTCCCAACTGCCACATATGCATAATGTACATAAAGTTCCCTACCACAATGCCAACATCTAAAAGGAGACAGGTCATGGTGTTTGGAGTAACCATTAGTTAAACAGGTACATGTTAAAAGATTTTCTTAGCTGTTGGGTAGCTTCACTTAACTGGTAACTGTGGAAAATTGACAAGGGGATTGCAAATTTCTGTCCACAATAGTCGATTTGGACAATTTTTGCAATTAGGCTATTTTGGTCTAAAATTTGCACATACCAACAATTCTTCACTATTTAAGATTTAGTGAATAATAACATATTTCTCATATTCCAAAGTCGAATTAGTTATTTTCTCTATAATTTTTCTCCGTGCTCAGAGATACACACGTTGTTTATAAAAAATCTTTCCCTCAATCAGAACACATAAATGGTTTTACAGTATTGTGAATTCTCTGATGTACAACAAGATTTGAGTTCCTACCGAATCCTTTACCACAATCAGAACACACATAGGGTTTGGCTCCTGTATGAATTCTCTCATGAGCAACAAGACTTGACTTCCGGTTGAAGCATTTCCCACATATGTGACAAGAAAAAGGCTTCTCTCCTGTGTGAATTCTCTGATGACGAATAAAACATGACATGTTTATGAAGCTTTTCCCGCAGTCAGTGCATGTATGTAGTCTTTCTCCGGTGTGGAGTCTCAAATGCATGGCTAGCTGGGATTTATTTGTACAACATTTCCTACAGAGAGGGCATATAAGCGATTTATCTCCTGTGTGGTTCCTCTCATGTATAAAAAGGTCAGATTTATAAGAAAATCTTTTCCCACATTGAGAGCATGACAGTTTATTTCCTTTGTGTAAATTCTGATGTCTGACAAGCTCTTTCCGAAGGGTAAAACTTTCACCACACTCATAACAGTTATATATGCAGCCTGAATTGTGGGTCCTTTGTCTAGGTGTTATAACTGACGTATTGGTCAAGCCATGTGTATAAATATCAGAGTCTGGGAGATTACCTTCTTCACATGAAAAAAAAGTAGATGGATATTCTGTCTGTTCTTTAAATTCTGTAGGTGGATAAATATCATTATCAAGACTTTCTTCTTCATATGAGTCTGGTTCCTCCTTAATAGGAGTAGTTTGATATATTGTGTATATATGCCCCGTTGGTTTATAAATGGAGGTGCCGGTGAGATTTCCTTCTTCACATGAGGCTGATCCCCCTTTAATATGGGTAGATGTACATTCTGTCTGTGTACATTCTGTGGGTGTGCAAATGTCTGCATCTGTGAGATTTTGTCCTTGATATGAGGCAGATTTCTCAGACACAGTTTGTACAGATTTGCTTTTTCTTGCTTCATGCATTTCTATTGGCTGTGCCTTGCGATTGGCGTTGATATCCCATTCTTCCCCCTTTCCATTATTTTGTGAAGCCGATTGTGATTGAGATTTTTGCAGTGTGTTTCCAACCACAGACCCCTCTGCTGAAGAGAAATACAGATCAGTAAGATTTATTTTTTCTGACAAATCGGTCAATCAAAAAGTACAAACCAAATAAACCGTAAATCCTGCTATACCCAGGATACTCGTATATCATAAAGCACAGGTACGTTATAAACCTTTAATCAGCTGGATTGTGTCCTGTCTAAGGATTAGAGTCAAGTCTCTAATAAATTAATATTTGTTAGGCTCTCCACAGGCCAAAGCCAGGTGTAAGATAACAACGACAAGAAAATCACAGTTAACTTGCCTGGTTAGTGGTCTCCACTCAGGTGTCAAACACGTTTTACCTTATTTGTGTCATTACAGAAGGAACCTGTACAATTTCACATCAGGCTGATCCCACCCACAATGATAGTCCTGAACGGAAATGAAAGATGGTTCTACTCTGCATCTAACTGGATAAATAAAGTAAATTGCAACCCAGTGTTGATAACTGATTAAACAGCCCTTTATTTTTTCCCTTTCCTTTTGCTTGGCTGTCTTTATATTTGCAATCTTTCCTCGTGCCGGATCCGTGTGCAGCCATTTTGTTGTCCTGTGCTGTTTTCCATTTTGTGGGGCTGATTTTACTGATGGATTGTCGGTACATTTGATTGGCAACTGAAACAGAACTTTGCATTAAAGGCCGCCCATTGTCAAGTTTTGTCAAAAAGCTGTAGTATAGAATCTGCTAAAAGCCATCTGTTCCATTTGTAACAAGAAAAAGGTTGAGAAGAAGAGGTGAACAAAACTGTAGAATAAGTGGGGAATGACAGAAAAAAAGGGGGAAGAGTTCTCCCGAACAACACACACACAGCCTATAACGTATGCTGAGCTAATCATGAGGTAACAGTTGTATTAAATGCTACACTATACGTTTCTCTTTTTGTTTTTTTTCTGTTCTACGTTTTGTATTTTTCTCTTTATATATACCATCCGAGATTGCTATATTTCAGCCATATAAGAATTTGTACCCTCATATATTTAAGGTAATAATTTGCACATATTTACACTTCATTGTGTGTACACATTCTGCGCTAAAGACATATCTTTTTTGGTATTTGTTATATTCGGAATTGTAGGACGCAATTCTGACCTTAAAGGACCACTATAGTGCCAGGAAAACATACTCGTTTTCCTGGCACTATAGTGCCCTGAGGGTGCCCCCACCCTCAGGGACCCCCTCCCGCCCGGCTCTGGAAGGGGGTAAAAACTTACCTTTTTCCAGCGCTGGGCGGGGAGCTCTCTGCCTCCTCTCCTCCTCCGTTACGCCCCGCCGGCTGAATGCGCACGCGCGGCAAGAGCTGCGCGCGCATTCAGCCGATCTCATAGGAAAGCATTTACAATGCTTTCCTATGGACGCTGGCGTGCTCTCACTGTGAAAATCACAGTGAGAAGCACGCAAGCGCCTCTAGTGGCCGTCAATGAGACAGCCACTAGAGGATTAGGGGGAAGGCTTAACCCATTCATAATTATAGCAGTTTCTCTGAAACTGCTATAATTATGAAAAAATGGGTTAACCCTAGAAGGACCTGGCACCCAGACCACTTCATTAAGCTGAAGTGGTCTGGGTGCCTAGAGTGGTCCTTTAAGCAGCTATTTATTTGTTTACTCTCTGAGGCACTTTACCAAGTTTGCACATTTTTGCTAGATTAATCATGAGATAAAGCAGGGAATGGTAACATAGCTCAATGTGTTTATCTTGCATGGTTCAAATTAACTACTTAGCAGCTGTTAACATGTCAATAAAGGTCAAACAGCAGATTGTAATGCAGCCCTTTGCGGCTCAATATACATTGAGACTCCTCAGCTATAACCTTTGACAAGGAAATGTATTCAGACATTCTCTGGGTCACTAACTTGGGACATTTCCTGCTATGTTAATGGATAATTAGCTACTTAAAGGGACACTCCACTGCCCAAATACAAAATAAATAAAAATCACACAGAAGATGTAGCCCCAACGAAAACTTGCATTCGATTATTAATTTGACCAATGGTGTATATCTAAAACAGCTTGCAAATCATGCATTTCTCTTGCCTTCTGCCTTTGGAAGCCCTCCTCTTCTAATCCCTCCCAGACTTTCTGTGACTGTCCAATGACAGACTTCCCAATGCAGCTCAATGAGACGTCTATGCAAGGCAGAAACTGTGGGCAATTGCTGCCTCTTGAGTTTACCTCCATTGAGCTAACCAAGCCAAGAAGTGACAGGATCTATTGTCTGCTTGAAAGCCAGGCAGTGTAACCAGGCAAATTTATAAACGTGCAAAATTCTATTGAAATCTGCACTTTTTGCAAAATGAAAAAAAGAGGACACACTCTTGACACATAAAGCTTTTCAGCAAAATAAAGTGCTTCAGAGGTCTGGATTGTCCATTTATATGGTTTGGTACCTATACTTGTGACAAGGTGGTTGTCATCAGAGATCAACAAATATGTTTGCTATATACACAAATAAGAGGTTATTTAATGTTTCTCTTACCCAGTGAGTTAAGGGTCTGATGATTCTCCATCCTTACGTCCTTATAGAGATTCTCGTGTCCTTCTAGATACTCCCACTCCTCCATGGAGAAATAGACAGCGATGTCCTCACACCTTATAGGAACCTGACACACACAATGATACAGTCACCGTCCAGACACATCCCTTGGTTTTACTCTATGATGTCCCATTCCCAGCAGCCTCACCTCTCCAGTCAGCAGGTGGATGATCTGATTGGTCAGTTCCAGGATCTTCTTGTCATTGTTTCCCTCATGGATCAATGAATGAGGTGGAGACACCATGCTGGGGCTCTGGGTCCTGCAGATTCCTTCTGACACAATAGGAATGTTGTTTGGTGAGACACGCTCCCCAGGCTTTTTCACAATAAAGTAGTCCTATATATTAAAATAGTAAAGTAATCAACCAAGAAATGTACTTTTTTTTAAAAAACATTTTTGATATTTTCACGTCAGTGGTGTAGATGATATTATTACCCAAATTAATTGTGTTTGTTTTAACAAATTTCAAAGGCTGAAATATTATGTTGCCAGGAATAATATCTACACATTTGACAACTGCATTTGAAACACTTCCACTGCACTATTTCACGGGGCAGGAGAAAGATTAGGATATATATTGCATATTGTAAAGCGCTGCAGAATTTGACGGCGCTCTATAAATATCATAATAATAATAATAACATAACCCCAAATGTTTTGTTACAATATAATTAATTATATACCACTGCAGGGCCAGCTGAGGAATTTACATGTAGTTGGTAAAAGGTGGCTCCTTCCAGTATAACTATTGATAAAGTTTATAAAAACACTGTTCAGAGTGTATGGT